CGTTTGCACTAGTAAAAATTTTTTTAAATCAATTTGAAATATTTATTTTTGGGCCGGCCCTAAAACTTGGGACACGCTGTATAAGGGATGCAGTACTCGCTAAGATGAAAAAAATGAATCGAGTAGGCCGCTAACGTAAAATTGGACACATCTGAATTCTGAAAAGAATATGTTTGTATTTGAAAAAGTCGAATTATTGCCATATCGATAATTTAGTGGTGAATCCAAAAATGTAACAAAAGTTGGGAGTTTTTATTAAAAAAAAAAACAGAACTAAGTTGTGTATCTTATTTTGGGCATCCTGTATTAAATAGAAATGAACAAAAACACGATTAAACCCGTCACACCAAACTTTTATTTCAAACACAATGCGTTTCAACCACAAAGTGGTCATCCTCAGGTGAGAAATAAAACTTTTTTTGAAATAAATGTTTTATGTGACGGGTTTAATCGTGTTGGTGTCATATATATAATACTCCTATATTGCGAGTTGTGTCAAAATCATACGGAACTAGTTTTCATGGAGAAAGGGAGATAGAAGATGCCATGTTTTATCTCTGTTGGCATGAAACGTAACTGCGCCGGTCAAAAAGTTCTTGTAGAAAGCGCGAAATTATTTCGATTCAAATAAAATTAAGCTGTTTTTCGATTCAGTTTACGTCATCAAAATAGTTCAATTTAACATATCTTACAACTGACTCAATGGGGATAGAATTTAAYAAAAAAATAAGACGAGAAAAAAGTATTTCAAAAATAAACAAAAACGTCAATTTTACAATATTTTTTATTATTYATGATTAAATAACACCAGTTTTGTAAATTTGTGCCTAACATATTCTCTCTTAGCCGAATATAATTTTGACTCATGGAAAAGTCTTGTATCGACATATAATTCAATAATTAATTTAACAAGCTGAAAACGATGATTATCTAAATAATCTTGTGTTTTTACTACATATGACCCCTATATGTAGTATGTAGTACATATGACTTCCATCTCTTCGTTTTTAAACATGAGGCCAACAGATTGGGAAATTTTGTTGCAAATTTCCTTTTTTAAATTTGGTTTGTTACAATGTTTATATTGTCGAACAATTTGTTCAGCCACGAGACATAAAGAAATAGTATCTGCAGAGGGTGCTACATATGACCCCCAGTCCTTTATCTCACTAAGTAAAGGCATATTTTTTCCAATCAATTGTTTTTTGCATATAACACAATTCATGATAGAAATTATTTTGCTAGTTACAAATCCCGCAATGTATTTTGTAACCTCCTCAACAAAAGGCGATAATTGCCAAAAGGTTTTTATATAATCATGGGCAAAATCCATTTCCACATTTTCGAGAAGTTCGTCATTAATTATGGGATTTCCAAGTCTTTCCTTTTTTGAGGAAACATGCAAAATTTCGATATTATCAAATAGGCAATTTCCATTCTCAATTTCTTTTATTTCATGCCTAATGAGAATCCGTTTGTATGCTGATTTGAACTGAATTACATTAGGATTATTATTAAACCCACCACGGCTACGGATGGCACTGAAAAAGGTTTCCAAGTAGTCCTGTGACAATTTGTAGGTCAGGAGATACGATTGGTTCAATTTGATTAATTGATCATATAATTCAAACATATTTCGTAGACCAACAATTAACCCCAAAAATCCAGTTTTCCGCATTGTTTTTAAAATAGGAACATTATCCACATCTCGCAAAGAAGCGATATATTTTTCAAAAGCAATAGCAGACTCTTTTAAAGAAGCATACGTTTCCCGGTTTAAAGGTCGGTTAAACTGACCTTTAGCAAAATTMTTTTTGCAATTTAAAATGTCCGAAATATTATTAAATTGCAAACAAAAGTTTGCAGTCGGCAAACATCCTTCAAAATTCTGTTTCGCTTCTTCATCATCAAGTTCATTTAGGAAACACAATGACTTGAATACGCTTCGCTGAGAGTCTGCATTGCTAATCTGACGTTCATCCTGTTGTCAGAGAAGTTAATATGTTTTTGCGTTAATTTATTGGCGGCTCGTAGTCCGTGCGTGGTTTGGTATTGGTGTAATTTTTCTATATACTCCCATTTGAATAGATCCCCTGACTTACTTTTAAGAATTTTTTTGTCCCCTAGAGTATTTCGAACTAATTTTATCATATGAACTAAATCCAAAAAAATAAAAACTTTTTCATTGTTAACATGATTGACAAAATATGGCTTAAAATCGGGACTATAATAATCAAAATTTGCTCCTAAAATAGTGCACATACTTAAATTTGTGGAGGCACCATCAAAAGTTAGAGAATAAACATGAGCACCCGCTGCAGACAATAATTCTAATGCTTTTTTTAATAAATTTGCCCTTTCTGTACTATATATTATTATAGTATATAGTATAGTATATATATAGTATATATATATATATATTGCCCTTTCTGTACTATATATTATTATAGTATATAGTATAGTATATATATATATATATATATATATATATTCGCTCCTCTTCGTTAATATTGTTTCCAATAAAAAACTGTTCCAAACGATCCTTGAAAATCTCAAAATTGGATGTCGAATGGTTAAACTGGGGCGCTCCAGAAGTTACAAAAGCCATGGTTTTTTCCGACTGTGTTACACTTTTTCACACTGCCCAAAAAAAATCACTGATTTCACGACCACTATTTTCGCGAGTTCGTTATTACAAAATTCTCGTCGCCACTGTTATGTACTTGCGTTTGGATAGGTGTAAGAGAATAATCTGATCCCCTTAAAATGAAATGCCTTTATTCTAACAAGGTCTAGGCCCGACTCACTTCAGCGGACAAGGACGCAAAGAAACAAAAAAAAACAGATAAACTGCTGATACACAGCATATTTCCCCCCCTTAAACTTTAAAATTATTTACAATAATATGTGAATATATACATTTTTTTTTTACCTCGTTGTTKGATATCTAGCTGGAGGTTGTATCCGACTTCGAYGTCTAAGCTCTCTTTTGAATTCATCTTTCGTTGGTAAGTCAGATACATCCTTCATCACAGGTACATGTAATTCCACTTCATTATCAACAACGTCAGTTATCAAATCAGATCGAGGAGTAAAGTCTTGTCTTGTCATTTGTGACTCGAGAAAACGTTTTTTAATTTGGTTTATATGACGTTTTACCTTTGCTCCACAATCTAATAATATCACAAAATAAGTTCGACTACCCAAAATTTCACTAATATAACCTGCGGTCCATTTTACATTATTTTTCCTAAAATCGCGAACCCACACGGCATCATTACACTCGAATTGTTTACCTGTATCAGTTTCAATTTTGGTCAGTTTCTCTTCTTTATCTGGAAACAATAAATCAAATCTAGATCTCAGTCGACGACCTACTAATAATTTCGCGGGTGCTACTTTTGTCGTTGTATGCGGTGTATTACGATATTGAAATAAAAATCGATTAATAACTAGATCGAGATCAWCGGATTTATTCTCAAAAACACACTTCGTAATCACTTTTTTCATTATACCAACTCCGCTTTCGGCCTGTCCATTTGTAGGTGGATGGTAAGGTGCACCTGTTAAATGTTTTATGCCATTTTGTTTTAGAAAATTTTGAAATTCATTGGATGTGAAAGAAGTAGAATTGTCTGAGCAAATTTGTTTAGGTAACCCAAATCGAGCGAAAACAGAACGAAGACATTTAATTGATAGTTCAGTAGATACGCTACTCACAATAAAACATTCAATCCATTTTGACGTTGCGTCTTCAATTACAAAAAATGTTTTGTTTAACAGTGGTCCAAAATGATCTATATGTAATCTGGACCAACATTCATTTGGAATGGGCCATGAGATTATCGGTGCTTTTGCCGAATCAGAAGCTAGTGAACAACATACTTTGCACGAACGTGCCATTTGCTCAATTGCTGCATTCATCAAAGGCCACCATAGWTACGAACGARCAAGTGATTTCATTTTTACTATTCCAACATGATTTTCGTGTAGCTCTTGCAAAACATGTTTTCTAAATTTACTAGGAATAATTAGTCGATAGCCCCACAAAAGACAACCGTTTTCCACCGAAATTTCGTTACGTYTAAGAAAGTATGGTTTAAGATTTTCCGATTTGATCTTTTTGGGCCAACCGTTTAATGCGTATCGTAAAACTTGTCTTAATTCGGTATCAATTTTCGTTTCTTCTTGAATTTGTTTAAAATCAAGTAGTGTTTTTGCACTCTCTTGAAT